AAAAAATTGTAAAATGCAAATCAGTAAATGTGTCCTCAACAACTACTTCCATGAAGTATGCTCCATGTTCTAGATACAATTACTATAACACTGCAGAACCTAAAACAACAGAGTAAATCTTGCAGTTGTTGAGATACTAGAAGTCACAAAGTGCTACACCTTCATTTTAAATAGGGGGTACTGAGACTAGAATGGTTAAAAGGTTTGCCCAAGTTCAATGTTATGACTAGGAAAGACCTAATTTTTTAATATTAGTGAAGATAAAAAAGTCACACAGAAATGAAGCTACCCCAGAAGCCAGAGAGTAAGAAAAAAATTAAGCTGGAGACAAAATCAAACTACATTTACACTTCTTAGCATATGTTAACATTTATTTATTTTATAAATTAATTTCATAATAAATTTGAGCCAGAATGATTAAAAATTTAAAATAATAAAGTTATTTTTAAAATTCAGAATAAAATTTAAGGTTTTTTTTATGTTAGGATAGGAAGGGACTTTCTATGCATAAATGCAGAAAACATTTTTAAAGCATAAATTTAAGTTAAACCTGTCAAAAACAGAACAATATTTAAGAGCAAACAACTGGGAAAGTATCTGTAACAATATGACAGATAATAGATGAACAGCCTTATCATATGCAGATCAATTAATAACTACAAATCAACAAACAGTAACAGCAAACACTCCAATAGAAAATTAGGCAAAGGACACTAAGCAGGTAATTCAAGAAGAAAATTAAATGATCAAAACACATTTTGAAAAATGAAGATTGTATTATAATTTTAAAAATGCTAATTACAAGATGTCATTCTTGATTTAACATATTAAAGATTAATACTGACTCTTCTCAATGCTGGTAAAAGTTGCAAAGATAGACACTCCCATGCTCTGCTAGTAGTAGGATTAGTACAATCTTTTTGATAGTAATTTGTCAATACACATCAAAATCCTTCAAAACATGAATACTCTTTGATTTGAAATAGCTAGTGGTTGACAAAGTGTGGATGGACTCCTGGAATCACTGAGACCCTCTCAGGGATCTACTAGGTCAAACTATTTTTATAGAAATAGTAAGATATTACTTGCCTTTCCCCCTGTATTGACATTTGAACTTACAGGGTAAAATAACTGTGGGTAAGACCGCCAGTTCCTGGGCCAGAGCACTATAATTGCACTAGCAGTCACTATGTTCTTCACCATAATATATTTGCAGGGGGGAAAAAAAGGAAGAAAAGAAGGAAGAGAGGGAGTGTCTGCTTCACTTAAGAATATTCACTAATTATATTAAATCTTGTCCTTTTAAAATTCTATATGACAATAAGTAAATACAAAGCACATTTACTGCATATTGAAGTATGACAGTTGTCTCAGGGGAAAGCACTTGTATGATTGTTTGAGTGCTGAACTAGCCACTTTTTCCATTGCATGCAATTCTTACTTCAATGAACAATGAACAAAGTATGATTATTCAGATTTGGGTATCTGGCAGACATTTTCTCAAAAATAAATGACGTGAGGTTGTCACTTCCAGGAAAACAACTGATAGCATTTGTTGCGAACGATAAAATTTGAGCTTTCAAGGGAAAATTCAAATATTGGAAAGCTCATATCCATCACTGTAAGCTTGACAGCATCACATCTTACAGACTTCTGATGAGACCAGTGGCGCTATTAACAAATGTGATTTTTTGATATTGTATAATAAAAGGTGACAAAACTTGGAAGATTTTTTGTAAGAGTTCACAACCAATATTTTTCAAATGAACAATGCATGATGATAAAGATCATGCATGGGTAAAAGATCCATTCATAGTTCACAACAGGCTAGAGGACTATAATGCAAGAATGTGAAAAGTTCTGATTCAGGTTTTGGATTCCACTTTGCAAATGACCTTTTAAAAATACTATTTGTTGCCAGGTACAGTGACACACACCTATAATCCTAGAGACTCCCTAGAAACTCAGGAAGTTAAGGCATAAAGACCTCAAGTTTAAGACAGGCCTCAGCAACTTAGCTAGACCCTGTCTCACAATAAAAAATAAAAAGGCCTGAGGAGGCAGCTCAGTGATAAAAACGCCTCTGGGTTCAATCCCCATCACCAAAAAATAAATAAATAAATACCATTTGTTGGATTTTGTATAATATCAAAAATATTCACAATTATCTACAAAGTCTATTATTGTTCCCTTTCCAACTATATATCTGAGACCAAAGTTTTCTAATATTCTTTAATCAAATACAGTATAACAAGTTGAATGGCAAAAGCAGATGTTTTTCTTTATTAAGGCAGGAATTAAAGAGTTGTAAAAGTGTAGACCAATGTCATTTGCTCAATACTTTTTTTAAATTATGGTTATTATTCATAAAAATGTTAGCAAGTAATAAGTTTACTGCTTTTCAAATAAATTAATAAATATTTTTTAATTTCTCAGTTTTAATTTATATTTTGGTAAATATCTACAGATAAAATCTATATAAACAACAGTTCTTTTTTCTTCAACACATTTTTATAGTGTAAAGGGATCTGGAAACCAAAAGGGTAAGAATTTATGATATGGTCATTCCCAATTTCTAGAAGCCTAAAGAAGACAATCAGATTTGACACTGTATATGTACAAAAAATAAAAATTATGTTAAAAATTAGAAAAACAAAACCTTTGAATGCAACAATAAGGAATTGGATAATACAACTAAAATATAATATTATTGGTTACTTGGAATAATTTTTGAAGAATTTTTAAACATGAAGCATGTTCATATGCTCATAGTATGTTGTGAAGGGAATAAGATTTACAAACTAAATGAGCAAAGATAACGCACTAAAAAATAGACTAGAAGAAAAAAAAGACTAGAACTCCAAGTATGTGAATGCCATCCACCAAGAAAATAATTGCTATTGTTATTATTAATATTAAAGCTAAGTATATATTAATATTAAAGTTACACTTAGCTAAGTATAGAACACTAAACTAAGAGAGGAAAAAAAACTGTATTCTAGGCACTGTTTGGTCATTAAATATCTCTGGGATATCCTTGGGGTGAACCCAGAAGCTTGAGCAAGCAAAGCAAGCAAGCATTCTACCATTGAACTACATCTTCAGTCCTTCCCTGGAATTTTTGACATTGTCTAACCTCTACAAGCTATCAAAAATTATAATGAGATCCTTACCTAACCAAAGTTCTCAGTCTAAAGCCTACCCAAAACCTTTTCAACACTAAGTAAAAGAGTGCTGCAATGAAAATTGATTGAAACCAACTCCAAAATCACGCTACAGAATTCTGATCCAACCTACTAAAAAGATCATTAATTCTTTCTTTTGCAAATTAATTTGACTTATTCTCTTTCTACAGGAAAATTTATTTAAATGAGTTATCCCCTAAATAGTACTTGGGAGAAGTAAAAAATATTTGGGCATATCATAAATAAGAAAGAAAGGTCATAAAAAAATAAGCAAGACAGTATGGTACTCCAAAGGAAGGGAATCTTCTTAAAATGCTGCTCTGAGTACTGGGGAGGTTACTTCTTATAGAGAACACAGGAATTTTCTATGGGGAAAAAAGACAGAAAAAAGAAAGAGAAGGAAGAAAGAAAGAGAAAGCAAAGCAAAAATACAAAGTAGTAATATATGTACATAATGGGACCAGAATATTAAATAAATAAATAAATATATAAATATATATATATATATATGCTCTATTCTAAAACTGCCCAGAAATATCTATTTTTTCGCTTGACTGATCAGCCTTCACCTGTTTCTTTGTTCATGAACAAAACTGGCAACTGTTAATGATAGAAAATCAAATTCTAACTTGTCAATTTTGTTCCCTGTTAGCAAGTCTGAAAAATCCTAAAGATTATAAAGGGATAAATACTGCCCTAAATTCAATCTGGGTAATATTGAAGAGAGACTCCCTCACTTTATAGACTAGGAAAACCAGTTCAACAGAAAACTGAGGTAGTAATAAAATACCTTCAACTTGTGTTTCAATTTTTATCATAATACCTATCATCCAATCACTTCTATTTCCTTAAAAAACAAATAAACCAACCACATGTATAGTGATGTCTAGTCAAGAGCTATACATCAGACAGGAAAGTCCTCATGAAGGGATAACCATGCTCAAGGCCCCAAGGCCATAGAGCAAAATGGTATAGGTTTGGAATTGGTTTGGAGTTCAGAAAAAAAAAAAAATACACAAAAATTTTATACTTTTAACTTCATAAATACAATAACCTGGTTGTCCTGGTTCTTCGAGTAATGACTGATCTGTTTCCCCCTAAAATAAGGAATCTATATCATATAATTCTTAAAGTCTTAGAAAATTGGATAATCTTAAAATCACTGGGGGAAAAAAAGAAGTGGAGTTTAGGGGAGGAGAGAAATCAGAAATACATGTGGAATATGTACACATATGAAAAAAAAAAAAAACATTCAGATCTAGTTGTTCAAGTGGCCAATGACTTAAAGTGGAATCCCCTGGGGTACTAGTCTCTGAGTGTACCAAGCACCCTTGAGATCACTTAATTGGGTAGTCAACATTATGAGCCAGTCAAAGGGTATGAGGCCCCTTTAGGCCTGTGCTCCCTTGTTTGTTTCCAGTGCCCAACTGAAAAGTGGTCCTCCATTTATTCCTTTTGAACTTACAATTCATTATGTCACTTTGTGAAGCCTCTGTCACCCATCTTCCATCGCTAGTTTCTGTCAAGTAACCACTGGACATTTAGGAAACACCTACTATGTGTGCCCACCACCTAACACATATCAAGTAAGTATTTGTAGACTTGAATTTAATTGCAAGCCCTTGGGAGGCTTCAAAGGACTCATCCATTAAGAGTTTTGTGAGGAAGGCAAGTGAAAAAAACACCTTTTTCACCATCCTTGATCTCCTGACACTTGTGTTACTCCCGACTCATGTGTGACACGTGGTTCCTAAGAGTGACTGGACACAGCTGCTGCAGGCAAAAGGCTTCGAGAGGGGAGAGAGGGGCACTTACCTGGGGAACCTCTGCTTCAGCTTCCTCAGGCTCTGCCTGGTGGGCGGTACAGACACTAGGCACTGGGCTATCTCGTCGTACTGGGCTTTGGTCAGTATCATGTTGGGCCAGGGACCAGGAGGAGGCGGGACAAGGAAACAACACCCTTGGGCCCAAGCAGCCTTGGCGCCGGGAGATGTGGGGGTGGACGCACCGCGGCAAGGCCCAGGGTCCTGGTCTTCCTTAGCTGGTCCTCGCCCCCCTCCCTGAAGCACACCCCAAAGTAGCACAGGAGAAACGGAGACTCGCCGCGTCCCAGGCTTCACCCGGCACCTCCTCGGTGGGGGCGGGTTGCAGACGCGATTGCCCTGGCAGAGTTTACTGAGCAGGCGCAGTGAGCCAGGCCAAGGCAACTCGCCGCCATGTCAGGTAAGGGCACGCCAACCAGGAAGTAGCAGCAGCCGGCGTGGAGGGCACAGCTTCTGGGTCTCGGCAGCAGATATGCTCAGCGTCGCACACCTGGGGTCGATCGCTTCTGCTCATGGAGTTCACGCCCCGCCTGTTGCCAAAAGCCAGAAAGGCCTCTCTCACGGGCCAGGAAGAAGGCTCGTGAGTGCTCTGCCAGCCATCAACTTGAGTCCCCGAAAGCCTCTGCCAGAGCGCGTAATTTGAATGTGTTCCCAGTCGCTGTTTAGGTGCAGCCTCAAGCAGGGCCCAGCCTGCGAAGAAACGTCCACACTCTGTGATCATGAGCCGAGCTGTAAACTGCATTTGCGTGCCTTAAGCATACAGTTTTGATTCTTGAGTCCATTTGTTGGCGTGTTTGGGGAAAGTCCTATAACTTCTACAGTTCGCGTGGAAGGCAATTGGTCCTTGGTGGGATACCCGACTTAAATATTACATCAGCAGACAACCAACAAAGGACACTAAAGAATGTTACTTTCACTCCCTACAGTTAGATGCTCGAGGACTAAAATCATATCTTGTCTTCCTAAACCTAGATCTCAGAAAACAGGCATCCAATAATTGGAGAAATGAGTCACTGAATTAATCCTTTGTTTTCTATATGTGCTGTGAGTGGATCTCAGCCCTCCTAGGGCAATTTATTGGAACATCAGCCCCTCCTTTAATCCCTTTTAAGAAATTAATTTGATTCTTGAGTCCATTTGTTGCCCTTCTTCACTTTAAAATTTAACATTTAAAAAAATGAAAGAAAAAGAACTTAGCTTTTAGAAAACGTAAGTGGTTTGAAGTCTTTTCATATGGAATAAAGTGTGGGTTGGAAGTTTAGCTTAGATATGCTTCATTGGATAAATTCCTTAATCCACTGTGGCCTCAGTTACTTTGTCTATAAAATTGATTTTTCATTCATGGGGGTGTTTTGAAGATTAAATAAGGTAGGACAAGTAAGGATTGCTTAGCATAATGTTCAGCAAATAGTCTAAATAAAGTAAAACTACTTGATAAAAATGGACAGGGTGTTTACTAGATTTTGTTTTCCAGACTTCCCATGTAAAACTCACTTAATCCTCATAACTTCCTGTGATGCAGGTTCTATTGCCTTTATCATTCCCCTCCTCCCTTTTGTATAGAGTGAATAAAGTAAGGCATGAAAAGATTAAGGAACTTTCCAGAGGTCATGAGAAAAAATAAGAAGCTGGGGTAAGGATTAAACTCCCAAAATTTGGTTTCAGAGTCTATGGTCTTGCCAACTCTCAGCAATTAGTACCCAAATAGTATACTCTCCTAAGCCCAAAGGTTAAGGATTTTTTTTTTTTTTAAGAAATTCGTTACATTTTGAAGAATCTTTTAGTGGAGATTTTAAAAATTAAAATTTCACCACTTTATTTTCTCAGGCATCCTGAATTCAATAACCATCATTTTTTTTTTCCTGAATATTTACATCAGCATGTTTTCTTCCCATATGCTTTGCATCTAACTCTGGTTGTGTGACATTAGTACATAACTATTTATTTATGGCAGCATGGCCTGGACTTGCCACCTGGCTAGTTTGTTGCTGACCCTGCCATGACTTTTACGTGAAAGCTAGCTGACAATAAGCAGACACCACTTGATACCCCCATTCCTTTCCCCTTTGCAACTTTACTCTTTCCAATTCACAGCCATCAGACTTTTATAGAAAACATCAGTTCAAGGATGTTTGCACTAGTTATTTTTATAGCAACTCTTCTTTCTGGCTCTTATCCTGTATTCACCCTCACAACCCTTAAGGAAAATGCCAGGTTTGTTTTCTGTTTTTATTTTTAACATGCTGCCAGTTTACAATCTTGACCCAAATCCAGTAGATTGTTTAGAGTTAGAGCTGGGAGAAAAGCACAGTTACATTACTGTTTTCATTGGCAGTGACAGTAGTGTTGTTTATTAAGCACAAAACAGAAGCAGAGCAGAAATGTTTGGTTGTTATTTAATTGGTTTCATTTTTCTTACAATGTGAAATGGTTGGGGTTAGCCAGTTAGCCCACTGAGGCAGCCTTTCTCCCTCTCTCACTCTTCTCTGTCTTCCTCCCATTTCCCATTGTACTCAATGCCCCTCATCTGCTATTACTTTTTTAGAGTTGCTTCTGCATGCTTGAGTCCCCCACCTCCCCGTTTCTCAGTCAGCCAGCAATATGATTTCCCCACTAAGTGAAATAGGGTTGTGATATAAAAACACAAATACCCCAAAGAATTGACTACTGTTTAAAATCAGCCATGAAATGTGTCACCTTAAGCAACTGACAGCCTCTCCAATCCTGAATGTTCTCAGTGTAACCCCAAGTCTCCTTCTGAAGGGGAGAAAAAAAAAAGCTGATAATATGGAAAAGGTATAGGAAACAAGACCAAGAAAATATGTCAAAGTGGGAACTAATACAGTTGGCTGGAAGAACAACTTACAGCCGGGAAAGACAGATTGGGGGGGATGGGCCAGAGATTTCTCTGCCAATTCCTGGACAACATGAATGTTGAACAATTTTAAAGGAGTATGGGGTTTGGCAGAGAGGCATCAGAGCATCATTTCAACAAGCATGCTAACACAAGAACTAAAAATAAGAATGACCCAAGTCACATGCCTGGGAAAGTTATTCCTACTGGAGTAAAGAGTTCTAGGCAGAGTGAAAGGAGTTAAGAATGTTCAGCCTTGGAAAGAATCAGCCACACTTTCAAACAGTCTGCCAAATCCAATGCATGTTTTAAGAAATACTGACATTATTATTTTTATTATTCTGTAAAGTCTGATTCTACTCATGGAGTCTCTGGTAGTTAATACACTATTTTAAAGAAAAGTCATTGAAATTTACTGAGTAAAGAAAAAGAAGGATGCTAAAATTATTTGAACACCTATGATATGCAAACATTATCCCATTATGCCTTATCTCACTTGATCTTCCGAATTTCCCTATGCAGCAGCCCTTATAGCCCCTAGTTCATAGATTAGGAAACTGAAGTTCAAAAGACATGCCTAGCTGTTAAATTGCAAAACCATGACTAGAACCCAAGTTAGTATGACTATGAAATCTCCTGTTATCTATTAAGCTGTACTGTAATTCAAAAAGGATTTGAAAACTCTTTAAATTCTTCTCAATAAAGCATCTATTCTCTGAAATAGCCTGCTACCTTCTTTGGCCACCAGAATGCCTGCTGAAGGGGCAGTCACCTTTAATTTTGACAATTAGCCAAAACACACTTCTAAAAAGTTGGCCACTTTTCAGGCATTGGGATTGTGGCTCAGCGGTAGAGTGCTCTCCTAGCACATACGGGGCACTGGATTCAATCCCCAGCACTACATAAAAATAAATAAAATAAAGATATTGTGTCCAACTACAACTAAAATAATAATAATATTTTTTTTAAAAAGTTGGCCACTTTGACTAGAAAAGATTGGATGGATTTTCTCTGTTCTATGAAGCACCACCTTAATTGATGCATCTTTGGAAACCAAAGTTTAGGTCTCTAGACTTGCCATCCTTGAGAGACAAATCATTTTTTACTGGTCCTAAAGAAATAAAAGCTCTTAGTAAGCAATTAAGATCAGAATAAAGCAGTTGTTGAGGCTTGTGGCAATTACTCAATTTAATGACTTGTAGAAAACCTACAGAAGGACGTTCCACACTATAAGGTGGAGCAGTTACACTGAAAGGTCAAGGAAGACCAAAAGCCAAATGTTGGTTCCTTCATGCAAGTTGGTGGTAAATGAACTCTTGGTCTGTGAAACCATGTGGTCTAATTCCTGAGAAAGGTCACATGATGATGGGAGCATTCACCAAGACCTGTTTCAAACAGAAAGTGGATCTCATGGGCACATAATTCAGAATGGCGCCTCCTCAAGTCTTTGTTATTCAATAATACTAAAAGCTAATGTTTGAGGGGCACTTACAAAAAGCAGGAAATATGCTAACGACTTTATGTTCATATATCTTCTCTTAATTCTTAGATCCAGCTCTACAAGTTAAGCACTGTTATTAAATCTCCTTTCCAATTAAGAAAACTAAGGCAGAGAGGGGTGGTTTCTACTTACTTCATTAGTTATTATACAGCATACTAGAATAATGTTTCTTAAATTCTGTGTTGGGAACCTAGTTTTCCCTCAATTTGTCATGGACAAATAGTTAAAATAAGACAAAAAAATTACTCAAAAAAATGAAATTTACAAAGACATATGAAGCACAAATCTACAGTTTGTTATTTTGAGATTTAATAGAATATAATTAGTTCATCAAATTAAGATAAAAGGTTATATTTGCTCATTCTCAATTTCTGAACTTACTACCTCAAAAAGTTTGCAGATCAGTTCTGGTTTGCTGACTATGTTGTAAGTTGCACTATACCTTGGATATATGCAAAGGAAGAATGCTGATTTCAAAGTCTAGAACCTCACACTTTTCAAGTGTTCTTAGTTAGAAGAGGAGTATAACCTGTGTCTTTTAGACCTTTGAGCACCAACCATTACTACTATTATCATTATTCTACTGTATTTAGTTCTTCTTAAGTGAAGTATACTTATTAAGGTCAACAGTACAAGTCGTTATAGCCTATTTAATTTGTACCCTATGAAATTAACACCATGTGTTTTCATAAAATCTAATTTCTTCTGTAGATTATAAACCTGTCAATCAGAGCACATGTGTGTCTTTTGCTTTGAATCACATTCAGAACACTATTGGTGCATGATAAAGCCTCTTAATCAGCATTTTCATCTTAACTAACACCACATTTGACAAGGATAAGGACCAAAGTACTATTTTTATGGGAACAATTTCTCTTGGGTGTTTGTGTGTTATAACAGAAGGAGATATGTGACCATGTTGGTTAGAGAAAGACTGAAGCCTCTTAAATTTTCTCCTCAGGCTCATCAGGGACTTGTGGATAATTTGCAGGCAATTTGTATCCCTTTTTCTTGCAGG